TCTCTCACTAGATTTATCTTCCTTCAATTTAGATTCCTCAATTTGTTGGGCATACACTATAAGACGTAATGTACATATCACCAACAAGCATTGCGTTGCGACATTCTTTTGCTACTAAGTCGGACCCTCCCATCATATACTTATTCATCTTAGCCATTGAATCTTCCACTATAGTTGGAACATACTTGGATAGTTGTGTAAATTTCAAAGCATACTCCTTTGCACTCATGCTACCTTGCCTAAGGTTAACGAACTCTTGCATTTTAGCCTCCCTTAACTCTAGGGGAATGAACTCATCAAGAAGTGCCAATTTGAACACTTCCCACTCTATGGGACCCGCTCTTACAGGCATCCTATTTTGCCATTACTAACACCTTTCAATTGGTAAGAGGCTAACCGCTTTCTCTACCGAAGTCACCCCCATAATAGCAAGTATATTATATACCTCATCTATAAACTCCTTAGGATCATCCTCCACTTTAGAGCCAAAAAATTCCGCAAGGTTCATCCTCATAAAATCCCTCACTCTTAAAGCCACGAAATTCACATTAGGGTTCACCGGAACAACTTCCCTATTGACTTGAGCAGTCAGGGCTTGAGCCAGATCTTGAATAGCCTCTCTAAACTCTGCATGAGTAACATTCTCAACTAAAGGATCAATTGGAGCTTGAGGAGGGGCTTGGAGAGGAACTTCCTCCTCCCCACTATCTCCCCTATTCCTCCTAGCATTAGCCCTTCTAGTAGTCATATCCTAAAAACCATAGGGCACCGATTTGGAAAAAGACCTAATAGAGTTAAAATTCTATGGCACCACTTAGAGAATGAAGAATTGGAGTTTCCTAAGAATCCATTGGCTTCTTATTGATAAATATGGCATGCTCTACACTTATGAACAAGACTCTACTAGACGTGGTTTGAGATATCCTTGAAAAATTATAAACATTGTGATCTGATACCAAGTCTCTCACAACCTAGGGGTACACCCTAGATGTTAACATAGAACATAAAACCCTGAAGGACTCCATGTAAGCCACTCAGCATATCATAAAATAAAATAATAGAAAAGTGTGGAAATTTAAAAGATTTTTCTTAACAATCGAAGTCTCATAAAATGAAGCGGAAGTTCTTAACATTGTTTCATACCATGTAAAAAACTTTGAATAACTCTTGGGACACAGCCCTGAAGGATAAAATCTAGTCAGCGAGAGAAAGGAGCAGTCGGCGAGAGAAAGGAGCAGTCGGCGAGTCACCGAATGCTTTACGATGCAGTACCATATCGCACAAAGTTTCTAAACCTCAAGGATGCTGAAGGAAAAGGCAAAAAGGCGATGAAAATTACCAAAGGGCAGATCGCCGATTGGATCACCGATCCCAACTAACTGTGCCAACTGGACCTTCGCAACACAAGTTTTTGACAACTATAAATACTTGTTTAAATATTTAGCTTAGTATCTTATCTATTTTTTTTTTGTTGAATCATATTATTCTTCAGTTTTTGAAGTTTAGAGCTTAGAGCTGAATAGAGAGACAATATTTCCTTTGCTTTGAAGATTTGAAGATTTCCATTTTCTAAGAAATTTGAAATGGTTGTTGAAGACTCTTCATCTTAGACCATTGTAAAGACTATATCAATCCTACTCAGTTGATGAAAACACAACTCGATAACGATTTTAACCTTTTTACTATGTCTAGTTAAAACCCCAATTCTTGGGGTGTGAATATGGGTTAATTTAACTATTGGGTATTGTTAATTGATAGTTTATTTGTTGTTTAAAAGTGCTTTCATTCAATAATTGTGGTTGAATTTAATGGGTTGTAGTTGCAAACAGAATCTTAACTTCATGTTTTTGGCTTGCTAAAGAGAGGTTTTAAAACCAAAATTACTGAATCGATGGTCTGTGGGGATTGGGTTTTCATGGGTTCAGCTAAAGATAGTGAATCCTAAACCCTTTTCAACACATTCAGCTGGAGAGAATGAATGGACTAAAGTGAAGGTTGTTTTTCATTGCCACTTATTAGTGTTCGAGAGAAAGTTTATCCCAACTAAAGTATAGCTTATTCACTGATTTGCAGATGTTTACTAATAATTTCAATTACCCAGTTGTTTACCTTGGCCCATAATCCTATCACATCCCAAGAATCCCGTCTCCATATTCATATTTTCGTGTCATTTACCATTTTAAGTGATAATTGAGTACAAATCCTCCTTTGATATTGACACTTGTGTCGCCCCAAACTGGAATTATGTTTTTCTTCGTAAACGTTTTTATCTATGATTGACTTGAGAATATTTATGATTTTCTATTGATTTTAAAGTACGAACCACTCTATTGGGACTCGACCCCAAATCACTAATTGGATTATATTACTATTGAATGATTGTTGACACTTAGTATTGGATGAAGTGTCCGTGATACGTTAATCAAAATTGGCACCGCTGCCGAGGAGTGGTGTTACTTGAGAATTTTTAGTTATGTTAAATTTTGTGCTTGTTACTTATAGTGATACTTACTTACTGTTTAGTTTTGGTTTGCTTGTTGTGTCTTGAAAACAGAAAGTATGAGTGTGAATGGTGGCAATGGTTACCAAATGGACCACCCCCTTTTGAGACTGTTGAATCTTAGGGATAAACTCCTAATGTTCAAGCAATTCGGAGGTGAGACTATCTATGAGATGTGGTCGAGATTTAAAGCAATACTGCAGCAATGCCGAACTCATGGAATGCCAGATAAATTGCCACTTCAATCCTTCTATAGAGGTCTTGGTCCCGAAATTAGAAGTGTTGCTGATAAACTTTTTGCAGGTTATTTGATACAACAACCCTTTGAAGTAGTAGCCCAACTCCTAGATAGCGTGATTAAAGACAACAAAGAAACATATAAAGCCTAAGAATGGGCCACATTGTTGATGCAACTAGATGTCTTGTCTAAGAATGCTATGGAATTAGAGATAAGGTCCAAAAATAAGGACAAATACCATCTTCTTCACGAGTGTCAAAAGATGAAGCAGCAGAAGGGTGAACAAAATGAAGAGGCTCTATCACTAATTCTACATAAAATTGAAGAACAAGATAGAGTGTTGATTCAGTTGAAAGAGAATATCCTAATGCTTAATCAGATGATAACCTCCCATTCCATGATTATTCAGCTGCAAGACTCCTAAATACACCATGTGATTTTGTGTCTTTACTCACAGTCTAAGGAGGGTTTGCCTAGTGACACTGTGATGAACCCCAAGAATGAGGTCTGAGTGAGGAGTTATGTCATGCCACGACGTTAACTAAGGCACTTCTTGGGAGGCAACCCAAGTTTTCCTTTCTTTTTAAGTTTAGAATAATGGTGTGTTGAATGTGCAGGACAAAGTGTGGAAAGTGCAAATTGGCGAGCTCCAGGGCCAATCGGTGAATAACCAAAGAGGTCGGCGATCCCGACTCAGATCGATGTTGGACTCAAGACAACTTTAAATTGGAGCCTGTAAAAGTCGGTGAGCCCAGGAAATTATTGGCTAGTCGACGACCAGGTCGGCGATCGCGATCTTGTCTGCCGTTTGGACTTCCAGATTAACTGGAAGTCTTGTAAAACTTAGTGAGGTAAGTGACCATCCAGTGTGTCGTTGAGTGGTTCGACAAGCATGACTAATGCCGCTGAATGGGCGAGAACTGGATGGTTTTTAAATGGCCAAAGGTTTAAACTTTCAAACTCTTCACTTTCCCTCACTTTTGAACTTCACCAACTCACACACACATTTTAGTTTATATAATTTTGCATTTTTAGAGTATTTTAGTTGTTGATTTGTGCTCGAACTTGGATTAAATTGCCACCTAGCATTTCAATCTTATTTTTATCAGCATTAAAGGTTGGTTTTCCAAACACCTAGTTTACTTTTGGCATTTTGTACTCATTTGCAAATTATATTACCTTGATGAGCGGAGGGGTTCCATTTTTTCTCAAAACATGAGCAAAAGGGACTTCTTTGCATTTTCTTGATTCACTTTTTCTTTTTACGACACCCCCAACTTAGGCTTTTGGCCTAAGTTGGCTATTCAAATAGACCACAAATGATGAAGATTATGGGTAATGGATCAAGAAAGGTTATGGTTTCATCATGTTTCTTCTAAGAAAAGGTTAAGGCTCAAAGGGTGTTCAAAAGAGGTTCACACACTCACAAGGTAGGCCACAAAAAGAGGTACAATGTCAAATTGTTTCACACTCTTTAAAGTTTCCTAAAACCATCTCAGGAGTTCCAATCACTTAGTCAACCAGAAACACGGGGTAAATTCTAGGTCTCATCACACATGATTCATGGAAGGCTCATCACATAAGGCATTGACACCAAAATTCAAACAAGACTTCACACTTTCGCTAGTGTGTAATGTTCATCACAAGGGACTCAATTAAATACTTGGCTAGTCACAACGAGATTCAAAGAGCTCACATATGGACTATGCAACGTAATTTGGCCTCATAGTAGGCACACATTCATTTTTGTTCGATTATGAACCCTATTCAAGTCATCATTATTGATCAAAACGATACTCAAATTTGCAAAAGAACAACCACATATAATAACAAACAAGAGGTGGCAAAAAATTTTGGAAGGGTCAAAAATCATTTTATCATTTAAAACAAGGAGCCACAAGCTCAAACATCCACAAAAATAGTTTAATACACAAATACAGCTCAAAACCCAAATATATAAGAAAAACATCAATATTCACAAAATGACACACAAAAGGTGGGCCTCACCCCACCACAAATAAAGTCAGTTGTCCTCAAATGCGAACAAAATAAAATATCCACAAGTCAAAATAAAGAAAGACAGAGAGGGAGGTAAAGAGGGGATCATATCTACACAGTCACTCCATCTGTGTGGGCATTGGTTCTCGGTGCATCAGTGTGATCTCGGGCCTTAGTACCCGGAGTCACCTTAGAAGGAACAACAGTACCAGACCCACTAGGAGCTACCATCGACGTCTCGGTCAGCGATGTCTGGATCACCGACTACATAATCTTGTCCTCAAGATTTGGCAAGTCTATGTATATGCTCTTCTCATGTATCTCTCTTTGCTCCGTGTCGGTCCCAACATCCAACTCATCAACTTCTGCCTCAACCCTATGCACATCTCCGGTGGTAACTGGAGGAATCTCTGAAGTCTCAGGGTCATCCATATCATCTACTACCTCCAACAATGAAGTGAAGTCAGTAGACTTTAGATAGTCTACGTCCTTCCTTAAGTCAGCTACCTCGGCTCTCAAAGTCGTAACCTCGGAGGTCTCCCCTTGCCTGCTCTCACAAGCTGTGACTCTAGTAGCCATAACATCAACAGTAGCCCGGAGGGAAGTAGTGCACCTCTTGTTTGTGATTAAATGTGGTTGTTCTTTTGTAAATTTGAGTATCGGTTTTGATCAATACATATTACTTGAATAGTGCTCATAATCGAACAAAAATGAATGTGTGGTTGTGATGAGGCCAAATGAAGTTGCATAGTCAATATGTGAGCTCTTTGCATCTTGTTGTGACTAGCCAAGTATTGAATTGAGTCTCTTGTGATGAACATTGCACACTAGCGAAAGTGTTGAGTCTTGTTTGACTTTTGGTGTCAATACCTTGTGTGATGACCTTACCTTGAACAATGTGTGATGATACTTAGAATTTGCCCCATTGATCTGGTTGACTAAGTGATGTGAACTCTTGAGATGATTTTAGTAAACTTTAAAGAGTGTGAAATTATTTGACATTATACCTCTTTTTGTGGACTACCTTGTGAGTGTGTGAACCTCTTTCGAACACCCTTTGAGCCTTAACCTTCTTGATGAAACCATAACCTTTCTTGATCCATTACCCATAATCCTCATGATTTGTGGTCTGTTTGGATAGCAAACTTAGGCCAAAGGCCTATGTTGGGGGTCTAGTAAAAACAAAAGGTGAATCAAGAAATTGCAAAGAAGTCCCTTTTGCCCATGTTTTGAGAAAGATGGAACCCTTCCATACAAAAAAAAAAGAGAGAAAAATAAATGAAAAAGAAAAAAATGTAGTGGAATAATGTGTGAAAATGCAAAAAGAAATGGGGTTCCTAAAAATCACTGGAAAGTGAATAACGAGATGACTTGTGAGCACGATTAAAAATGATGATGAAAAGGAAAGGAATTGTTCTTCAAACTACATTTCATGAGGACTATAGCCATTGACACTAAATCACCATACCTTTGCACTCAGCTCCGTTACAATCCTTCAAAAGACCTTTTTGATCTTGAGTGAGTTGAAGCAAGTGTTGATTGGAAAATTCGGGCGAACCTATGGGTGAAATCATGCATTGTGCTCATCTTTGTGGGTGTGAGCGTTGCATTTTATTCTAGGACTTTCAATTGTTGAACCATGGTGTTTGAATATTGAATCATTTGTTGTGTGGAGGCATTTGATCACCTTTGTTGAGCCTGAACTTGCAGTTGAAGCAAGTAATGTGAGCTTGAGATTGTTTGATAATGGTGAGTCACAACTTGACTCTTTGAGTGCAGAATTGATCCTTGCATTGAGTAAGTTGAGTCTTTATGTGTGAATTCATGATTGAATCTTATGTAGCACTGTTTAAGACATCCTTTTTGAACTGCTGAACTTGAGTTTTACTTGAGGACAAGCAAAAGTTTAAGTTTGGGGTGTTGATGAGTACACAATTTGTACTCATTTAGGGATTTATTTGAATAGATTTAGTGTCCTCAAATGCATATTTTATGCCAATAACTGATGTAAACCCTTGAATTTTAGGTATTTGGATTGAGGGACAAAGCATGGACACTATTGAGCAAAAAGTAACAAGGCAGCTCAAAGAATGAAGGAAAGAAGGCCTGAGGATTTTGAAGTTTATAGCTTATAACTAAATAAAGAGACAATATTTCCTTAAATTTGAAGATTTGAAGATTTGAAGATTTCCATTTTCTAAGAAATTGCAAGTGGGTGTTGAAGACTTTTAATCTTATACCTTTGTAAAGACTATATAATTCCCACCCAGTTGATGGAAACACAACTTGGTAACGATTTTTACCTTTTGACTATGTCTAGCTAAACCCCAATTCTTAAGGTGTGATTATGGGTTGATTTAACTACTGCGTATTGTTAATTGATAGTTTATTTGTTGTTTAAAAATGAATTTGTTTAGTAATTGTGGTTGAATTGAATGGGTTGTAGTTGCAAATACAATCTTAACTTCGTGTTTTTGGCTTGCTCGAGAGAGAGGTTTTAAAACAAATATTACTGAATCGATGGTCTGTGGGGATTGCGTTGTCATGGGTTCAGCTAGAGAGAGTGAATCCTAAACCCTTTTCAACACATTCAGCTCGAGAGAGTGAATGGACTAAAAGGAAGGTTGTCCTTCATTGTCGCTTATTAGTGTTCGAGAGAAAGTTTATCCCCACTAAAGTCTAGCTTATTCACTGATTTGCAGTTGTTTACTATTAATTGCAATTACCCAGTTGTTTAACTTGGCCCATAATCATATCACATCCCAAGAATCCCGTCTCCATATTTGTATTTTCGTGTCATTTGCTATTTTAAGTGATAATAGAGTACAAATCCCCCTTTGATATTCGACACTTCTGTAACCCCAAACTTCAATTATGATTTTCTTCGTAAAGGTTTTTAGCTATGATTGACTTGAGCATATTTATGCTTTTCTATTGATTCTAGAGTACGAACTACTCCCTTGGGACTCGACCCCAACTCACTAGTTGGGTTATATTACTATTGAACGATCGTTGACACTAAGTATTGGATGAAGTGTTCTTGATACGTTAATCAACAACTATAGCAACAATCCAAGCTAAGCATACAACATATAAGAGAACGCTTCATAAGTAGCTTCAAGTCATACTTCTGCAATACATGAAGAAGACGCCATAATCCCACCCATACAAAGTACCACTTTAAGCCATCATACATATGTAATTACTATTCATTCTTTCTAGGATACCAAGAAATAGCACCAAACTAGGCTAAACCAAGATAATCATCTAGCTAACATAACTACATTATTCTAAGCCAAGCTACCATGGAAAGCATACTATCATGCAAGTCCAAGCTATTCAAAGAAGGATACTATTGCTCCATCCCAGCGACCATGAAATGATTTGGCCTAACCAAATCATGCTACCATGCAAGTATACTATGATACTTGTGCAACCTATCCTTTGGAATTGTATGATTACTCAATCCAATGAAGCCATGAGGTCTTATTCTCAAGCTACCATGAAATGGTCTTGTCTTACCAAGTCAAGCTATTCATGAAGGGATCTTATGTTACACTTCAATCTATTCTAGTCTATCATACTTCATTCATTTTAGGTGAGCAAACCTTTCAACCTAGAATCATTCTATCTCAGAAAACCTTTCACACCATGTTTATTATGTGTTCATGAGAATAGCCTTCCAATCAATACATCTACATATCATAATTATAGGCACTTCACTCTCAAAGTGTTCATAAAGAAATAGGTTCTATAAGAACATGCATAATCGCATACTTTACCTACTTGAGGTTTCTAACCTTTCCTTTAATCATCATATCAAGAATTCTAACATTAGACATGGATATCATCATAACTCAAGTGATTCTATCAATTCAAGATTCAATTATAAATAAGGTAGGTTAGGTGGGTAAGGTTCTTCCACAATAACTCTATGTAGTAGTCTACCATTATCATACAAGTTTTAATCTCAAGGCATTAACATTCATATTTCAACACATTAGCTTTACTCTCAAATCCCTAGGAATGGTCATGTATCATACACACCTAGATTACAAGGCATTCTAGTCACATGCTCATTCTTAAGCAATTCTAGTCATATATTATCATAAAGGTTCAATCTTAATTCTTAGTAGTCATGATCCATCACATATACATTATTTTAATTCAATTCATTTCTACATGGTTTTATTCTTGAACAATTATGATACATATCACCAACTCTAGAAGATCATCTATGAATCCTCCATTTCCCTTCACAAGCCATAAAGCCACATTACTTCAATTTCATCAATTAGACTAAGGTTACGCATGTAAAACACGTAATTTAATTTTAATAGCATGATTCACTACTAATTCAATTATAAACAATAAATAGCCACTCATTTGAATTCATGGTCAACTTAACCCCACAATATTGGAAAGAACCCTAACTTGAATTGGGGATTTCATATTCACAATTGTGGAATAACTAGCGGACTTCATGGCTCTATGAATAATCTATCATACCTTGATTATAAAGCCTTACAAAGCTTGCAACAATGGAGTCTTTGCCACTTTCTAGAGAGAGTACTGTTTTGAGAGGGAATCGAGATCTTTTTGGTGAGTGGAAATAATAACTAGGATCAATGAATTTAGGGGTCTAAAGTATTTATATATGTGGTCTAAGTAAGGTTAAAATTACACCACTTAACCCCTAATTAATTCTTGAAAGTTCCACAAACCCCTCACTTAACCGCCTAAGACAAGTTCACTGCCTCAGCCACGAGACCATGCCCACGGGCCATGAGTGGAACCATGAGGTGTGCTTGTCAAGCGTGGGTGGTAGTCTGGAAATTTTTTTATGGGACCCTGACTCAGGACCCATAACCCACGGGGCGTGAGTCCCTTTTGCGAGTCTACTGTTTTAAGGCAGATTTTTGGGTCCTCCTCAAGGACCGTTGGTTGGACTTAGGGAAGTCATGCCTTGACGTTCCTAACCTTCAACCCTTCATTTAAAGTACGGGGAGTTATATCTATGAGTCTACCCCTCACGTCAAGTTCTAGTTTAACCTACTAGTTTCCGGAGTGGTACAATATCTTCCGATTGGGAACATTCATCCTTGATTGACGTTCTATGCACTTCTTTAGATCACTACCCTAGACTAACAACCCATCATGCATGCAACACATTTAAATTCACACAACCAAGGAGGAAAACTTCACTCCAAGATAAACATACTCAATGCAACACAAGGGAGTAGGAACTACATCTAACAATCCAAAATGTATGAAATTCTCATAACTAACATGATCAAGGAGGAACTAACATCGCCTTGCTAAGATATGCTCATTATACACTCATGGAGGGTATATAAAATTTACTCTAATAAAGCATTCTTTCAAGGAGGAATCTTTCAAATCCAAACTAAGGCATGCTCATTCATCTCATGAAGTTCGATAGGCAACTCTACTCAATGCAGTACAACATAAGGAAAAACAACGCACATAGGTTATTTCTATCAAGACATAAGCTTTTTCATGAACATGCATATATATAAATCATGGCCACTCATAAACACACAATGGCCTTGCTATCT